CCCCAAAACCCCAAAACCCCAAAACCCCAAAACCCCAGGGAAAGAATAACTGGTTGAACTCACAACTTTGTAAGAAAGCCTTGAGCATCAATTTGTAGTGTTTAAATTTTAAATTTTGAAAATGTCAGTATATAAGTTAAATTTGAGTAAAGTTGATTTAAAACAAAGAGATAAATGAAACTAATGATGATATAATAGATAATTAGAAGGGGGTTACATGAGTCTGTCTTTATCTATCTGCTCTCATTGTTTAATAGTCGAACTTGTATCCTGAGCTATAGTTTGTGTCAAAATTATGAATTTCCCAAATTAAGGAATCAAAGAAGCAGAATAGGCAAGTTTAGATGTAATATAACTAGGAATCGAATAATATCTTCTGAATATTTATGGACTAATTGCAAGAATTCATGAAAAAGCTAAAGACGCTCTATAAACTCTCTAAATAAAAAACACCAAAACCTTATCAAGTAAATTCTTTCCACCTAACAAGCCACTCAAGTAGAGCAGCTTCTATCTCATCTAGAACACATATTTCCCCCTAAATTTACCAATATTCTCCAAGAAATAACAAATTCAGCTCCAAAAATCATCTAAAAATAGACTTACTTATCATCGAAATAATCATCTCTGTCATTTCTGTTATTGTAGCCACCTCTGTTGTAATCATTTTCTCTTTGGTCGTTATATCCTCCTCTGTTGTAAGAACCTCCTCTATTGTTATAGTTTCTATTAGACCTTCTGTTGCCTCCTCTGTTATTAGACCTGCCTCTGAAGCCTCTATTCTGAGCTTTCTTCCTGTCATAAGGCATCAAAAGAGCGCTTTTGTCAAGACTCTCAGTCTTCTCAATCTGATAGTACCTGTGGTACTCACTCTCCTGATCTCTCTCAACAAGGTCAAAGAAGATATCCACCTTGTCTTTAGGGATGTCGAAGTAAGCTACTTTTCTGTTCTTAGCGATTTCTACACTCTCAAATCTGAAATTGGCCTCATGAGGAATCACTCTTTTGAGTATGTTGTTTACGTAATGGAAGTTTTCAACTCTAGAATTGCTCTTCAGAGTCATAGTGGTGTAGTCTCTTCTTCCATTGATCAGAGACTTCTCTTGCATAATATCATCAGCTCCAGTCATGTGGGCTAGGACTAAAGAAACCGCATTTAAAGCTCCCTTCTCAAGAATTAGCTTGGTAGCTATCTTTTCGAACATTTTTCAAATTTGAGGTTCAACTGGGGTGAGGGCATGCTCAAGATTATCAATTTGCTTCGTTACAAGCTGCTTTGGATCCGGTAATCCTTCTTGCTTAAATTTAATACCTGCTGCTCTTTCGATATTTTTAAGCATTCCATTTTCATACCCAGAAACAAGTGTTATACATGTTCCAGTTTTTCCTGCTCTAGCTGTTCTGCCAGATCTATGGATGTAGGAGTCAATGTCATTTGGGGGTTGCATCTGAATGATCAGATCAACATCTGGAATATCTAGCCCTCTTGATGCTACATCAGTTGCTACAAGAACCTAAAGAATTAAAGTATAAGCCTACATTGCATTTTCCTTCTCTGAAATTCTTTAGAGTAATCTCTCTCATATGCTGTGATACATCTCCATGAATTGCTCTAAAAAGTAACTACTAGTGTTCTTACTCGAATATGAATTCGTCACTGAATGATCCTCCCTTCTTGAACTGAGGATTAGACACAATCTTGTTAGCCTCTAACTTAGTCTGAGTAAAGACAATCACCTTGTTATCTTTCCCAGCATGAACAGAAAGAAGGTCTGAAAGACCTCTGATTTTCTCTCTTTCATCGAGCTGAACAGAGATATGCTCCACTGATTTAGCAGTCTTGTTCTTCAAGCTTTTGACAAGGTCAACAAACTTGTAATCCTTTTCAAGATATTTTGAAGCAATCTTCTTGACCCAATCAGGGACAGTTGCTGAGAAAAGAATAACTTGAGGCTTTGCTTGTTTCTGGAGCTTCACTTCTTCAATTATATGCTCAACTTCATCTTGGAATCCCATGTCAAGCATTCTATCGGCCTCATCAAGAATGACAGCCTCTACATTTTCAAATCTACCTGTCCTGTTTTTAATATGGTCGATCATTCTTCCAGTTGTAGCTACAATGAATTCAACTCCTCTGTTGAGAGCATCTACTTGTCTTGTATACGAGACTCCTCCATAGATAGTGGCAACATTGAATTCACCTCTGGAGTGCTTCAACATTTCTATTTGCTTTGAAACTTGGATTGCAAGCTCCCTTGTTGGAGTTAAGATGATACATCTTGTTCCCTTTTTATCTTCAAAATATCCTTGCTGTCTGAATCTTTCAACAAGAGGAAGTGAGAAAGCGAGTGTCTTTCCTGTACCTGTAAGATCTCTAGCAATATGGTCCTTCCCATCATACATACTGTCAAAAGTAGCACTCTGGATGGGGAACAAACCTCTGATACCATTACCCTCGAGAACCTCTTTTGTTTTATCAGTTATCCTGCTGTAATTTTCAAAGCTTTCGCCGATATTTTGAGGCTCTTCCTCCACTGTTTCTTCCTCTTTAGCTTCTTCCACTTTTTCAGATGGAAGTTCAATTTCACGAGTCTATTTTTAAGCTAGGATCTTACCTTAAGATGAGGGATAATGAAGGTGCCTTCTCCTTTGATGGCTACCTTGTCTGTATCGTTGTTGAAAAGAGTGGTCTGGAAGGTAACAATCTTCTTGTCCTCTCTAATCTTCTCCACAGTCATAGTCGCAGTAACTTCATTATCGGCCATCACTGGAGCAGTGAACTTAATGTTGTGGCCCAGATAAATAGCTCCTGGGAGACATTCCCTCATAATCATGGTGAAAATGGAAGAGGTGAAGATTCCATAGACAACATCCTTCTTGTAAAACTCCTTTGAGTTTTCCTCAGAAAGATGAGCAGCGTTTTTATCTTGGCCTGCTATAGCGAAACTCTTGATATCTTCTCTTGTGAATTTTCTAGTGAATTCAGCCCGATCCCCAACATTCAGCAGAACAGGGTCAGGGTTAGACCTATTCTTTGGAGGGGTGATCACTGTGTTTATGAACCTGAGTGAGGCTCCCAGCATTTTACCAGATCTCAACGAACCTGGCAAAACACGAGAATTTTTACAACTGATAATACTTCTGAACATTTATATATTAATATTTCAGCCACGGAATTTATATTAGGGGTTTTGGGGTTTTGGGGTTTTGGGGTTTTGGGGTTTTGGGGTTTTGGGGTTTTGGGG